GTAACGAAATGTCATTAAAGGGGAAAAGAAAGCGTTAATGGATGGGACAAGCAGAAATTCGCTTGTTTTTATCAAGGACAACAGGTTCCCTTCTCGTAAATATTTACAGGCAACATTATACCTACATCTTGAATCATGAAGCGAAATCAAGCCTTCAATAAGCACAAGGAATATAAATGAATCTATAGGTCCATTCAAAATTCATAAAAACGTTTCTCTAAACAGTTTGCTATATATGATAATAGTGGTTATAATTGTAAGACAATTTTATCATGTCATAATGAAACAAACCATCCGGTAACTAAATTAGGAGTTGAATTTGCCTCACCTGAAAATTGCTTGAACATCTACTTCATGCAATGTTCGAGATAGAACACGTTGGAGGAACCCAACTTCCTGTAAATGAATGTTCGCCCATCAGAACAATTCATCAATCGCAATTCAAGTCAAATGTACAAAATAAGTGAACTATTTACACTTGAACAAAAAGCCTAATGGCATAGTTTGGGGTGTCATTTAGGAATTCTACTCCCAGGTTTTTTGCATGACTCTTCACTAATAAAGTGCTTTTTCTAAACTGAATCCGTCAGAGACAACCAAAAGGGGTTAAACAAGGTAAGAACCCTGGAATCGAATTAAAACATTGTAGCTACCTTAGTAAGGGACTTGGCAATTGACTGGGCTGTAGGTCAGCATCTTCTGACCTATTCCAGCTCTCAACAATCTGGGGTAGTCCACGCAGATGAACCAACAACCTCTCTCATTATTTGAACAAGCTTTGAATGTATTTCATCCCGGTGAACTCTATAATCCTGAATTTAGAGAAATGAGAATCAAGCAGGACAGGTAAATGGGACATTGTATGTGTATCACTGAATACTTGTCGGTAAAAGGAAGACTTCCAAGCATAAAACAATATAGCCACATGTCCAAATATTTTTCTAAATATAACTACATCCTTCACATTCAAATTCAAAGGTTCCTTGGCCTCCATATATATGTTTGTGTGTATAAAGTTTCTCTAGTTGTGGTCGCCTTCAAATTCCTAGAGTTTTAGAAAACCACTGGGTGATTATGCAGGTTTACATATCAATCCGCAATCCTTCAGTTTATTTTTCTTCACTATATGTTGAACTTGCCACCACTGCATTAAATTTTAGCAAATGAATAGTCTTATTTTAATCTGTTGTTATGTTTTTTTTAAAGACCTGCTAGCAAACATAGTTTAGTAACTATGAGTCAGCGTCAAAGATATCTACATCATGATAAACTCTAAAATCAAATATATGGAAAACAATCATATTAGTTATCAAGAAAATATTGTATCCATTCTCCCATTTTTAGACTCAGAACTGCAAGATAAATCTGTATCTGACTTGCATTAAATGTTTTCTTCTTCATTATATTTGGGGTGAGAAGTACCCACATTCCTATATATGTGCCGGACATGACAACTTCTTGAAAATGAAAGTTGGAGTATGAAAGTTAATTCCATACAGTAAATTAATTACTCTAGACTTAAATTTCACCATATATACTCAATGTGAAAGAAAATGACAATGCCACAAGCAGACAATAGACAATAAAAAACCACAAAATGCTCTGCCAGAAACCTTTAAAATGAAAAACACAAATAAGGAAGAAAGATAAAGGAAAAGGTGAAATGCTTCAAAATGAAATAAGTGAAGAAGTCTTATACCTGTGCAACTCGATCAAACTCCAACAGCAACAGTGATTTCCGAGGTTCAGGAACTTTCAGGAACAGGATTTGCTTCAATTCTTAGGCCAGAAACAAAGCAGACATCAATTAATCAGCAACATAAAAATTTTCAATAATGAACTCAGAATGTAATAGATTTAAGGATGCTACAAAGAAGGGAAAAAAATGAAACAGACAAGCGGAAAAAAAATAGAACACGAGTATTCGATATTCAAACAAAGAAAATAATGTAATTAAGCTTACTCCAACATCCTCTCCATTCAAGGAAATCGATGCCCTGGCTTTTGCTTTCAACAATATAACTGCATCTTTATGCCCAGCATCATGTATTGAAATTTTCAATAATGAACTCAGAATGTAAGATTTAAGGATGCTACAAAGAAGGGAAAAAAATGAAACAGACAAGCGGAAAAAAAATAGAACACGAGTATTCGATATTCAAACAAAGAAAATAATGTAATTAAGCTTACTCCAACATCCTCTCCATTCAAGGAAATCGATGCCCTGGCTTTTGCTTTCAACAATATAACTGCATCTTTATGCCCAGCATCATGTATTGAAGCACGCATAAATTCTGCGGAAAGAATACTGCCAAAAGGAGTACAAAATGTTGGTGATATTACAAACTAATGAATCGTTTCAAAAGAAGAAAGTTTGTGAATAATATTTCCTGTCATTAATGTCATCGCACTTTGTGGGGGAAATACCTGTTTATGGAATCTATAGAAGCAACTACATGATCTCGAAGGTGACGAAAGCAATGTAAACCTGTAAGTCATCCCCATCCTATGAAAAGGAACAATTTCTAAGCTCACAAAAATTTTAATTCCAATCAACATATGGCTAATGAAATTGCAAGAGCTACTTAATTAAACAATGTGGATCTGGCAAAAATAAAGAAAGAACAAAGGCAGGAAATCTAGCTATAAAGTGGCAAAACTTTACAATCGATTCAACAACTTAATCTATGAGGCAGGCAATGGAACATAGTTTTTTTCCACAAAAAAGATATAATAATAAAGAAGTTTATCTCATGGATAGATGAATATATACCAGCAAGTGGTGCAGATCATCGATAATATCCAAAGCCCCAGCACACTCTGCAGATGCAACAAGCTGCATCCGATAAAACTAAATCAAATTCATATAGAAGCATTAACAAAAGTAGCTTCTTGGCGAATTACAGAGAAAAGAGAGAAGTGGAAATTAAGAAGCTGACCAATTAAGAGTGGATAATGCTTGGTTTACAGATAGAATAAGCTTCAATTTATGTAGGAGAGCCAGCAGATGGTTCTATTGCATTCAACTCCTGTGTCTGGCCGAGCAGGTCACCAAATCAGTGTCAACCACCGAATAGTTTCCTTCAAATCACGAATCCGGTTGCATCCTTCCACAATCTTAACATTCAAGTCCTCCAACTGCCCTTGCGCTTCGAAGAAAGAATTGGACCGCAAAGAAATCTCCTTCACCAAATGGACCTCACAACGTCCAAGTAATAGGTTAATTTCCTGAAGCATAATGTTCTCAGAAACATCGTTGAATGGGCAGGCTGCTCGAAAGGTACCTCCATCTTCGAGAGCGAAATCTTCCTTAAAATAAAGGGCAGGTACCTCCCTTAAACAAGCTACGAGGGCTTCCCCAATGTTATCGACGTCGAATGTTTGCTCCCTGGTGATGTGATTCCGAATGTCCTCAAATCGATGGTAAGAATCAGAGATGGAATTAACGTATGATTTGAAATCGGATCGGGCGAGGTCAGATGTCGCTTTGTTGGACGTTAAGGGTGCGAATTCGGGCGGCGCGACCGACCACCAACCACCCCAAGAAGCTTCCAATTTGCCAGCATAGGTCGTTAAGGACGGAAGAGAGCGTTCCACCCGAATCGGCGACGGAAAATGAAGAGGTACGACCAACCGACGACGACCTTCCCGGGGGAGGCTGTGAATCCATTTTCAAAATCTACAAACCATCAAACAGATAAAATTTGTGGGAAAAGGAAAGCTATTTGTTTCAAATAATTTAAAAAGAAGAAGAATGTTTAGAATGGATCTTGAAAGAATTTGTCGTAACGGAAATGCGTGTTTGGTTCTGTAATTAAGTGTAATTTGGATCTGAAAAGAAGGGGGGATTTGAAGCGCCATAGAATATAAAGATTGAGATCAGATCAAGATTCAAGTGGAGAAGATGGTACCGTACTGGGCCCCCATTGCCCATTGAACGAAACAAAGCGTACCAAGAAGCCCCACTTCTGCATCCGACCCACCACTGCCTCAATTCTTCTTCCTTTCTAAAGAGCGGACTTTCCCAAATTATGATATTTATTAACACGTGAATTGCCATTACGTTCAATACGATGTCTACAGTGCATCAACACATTAAAGATCATATTTATTGTATCTGTAATAAAATATGTTAATAGAATTTATAAAAATATTTTAGTCATCATTTTATCCTAATCATCTTATGACATTATTCCCTTCTTTAGTAAAATCTCTTTCTTACAATTTTTTCCAAAAACTTTTTCAAATGAACATCTATATCATTCTTAAAATATTTGTCATATCTGATTTGACGTTTCAATTTGTTGCTTTCCATTCAAGCCAAAAAAAAAAGATCACAGCAGGTACCATCTCTGCAATTGAACATCGACACCTATGAATGTAATCGATATATGGAACATGAGTACTTGAAAAAGGATCAAAGAAATATAGCATGAAGGCAATGCATATTAGTAATACAGGTACTTGCATGTATCATCCTGCTTTTTACATTTTTTATATTGTATATTCATATTATATATTCAAATAAGTTTTTAAAGGGTCGATTCATCTAAATCATATTTGATCAAATTTAATGTGAATAAAAAACGGATTCAAATTTTAAAATAGATATGTAATTTTAGATTTAGATGATATTAAAAATTATAACTATCGGACCAACGTCATCTTAATGGGACCGAGGCTCGAGTGTGGAGCGTGTGGTATATTAGCCAAGAGAGAACAAGATGTCAAAGACATCCCCATCAAACTCCTAACATAAGTGTAAACATACATTCATCAACTACCAGACACAACAAATATGCATTCAACTCGAAAACCAGAAAAGATGCAACTCACAGTCGGACAGAAGAAAAAAGGGCATTCCACTTGTACCCAAAAATGCCAAACACGATAAGATTACGCAACACAGGTCTAAAAACACGATGTAAACATGATACGAACACACAAGCACATCAAAATCTGTGTAAGACAAGTTATCAACTGGACAAAAGTAATATAAGTACACGAACATGGATTGCCAGACCATTAGCTAACTAAGTCTGTACAGCTATGGTAGAGAAACCTTAAAATAACACTTGTATGAAGTGGAGTTGCTAACCTATGGTACGTTTTAAAAGCTAGGAGAATCCATGAATTCATGTCAAAAGAATATCATTAAAATGCTAACAAATCTAAATAACTTCTCCTAATGAGCCGTCGCCCGTCGTCAACGATTTTTACGTGCTATCTACCTTCTGAGTTTCTATACAGAGAGAATAACATAATCACCAGAGATAACAATGCCTCTTTCCAGGTCACCTGCGCAAAATCCAATTCTTGATTGCGAAATTTTTGCATAAGCATGATTCCTTCCCAAATGCTGAATACCTGAGAAGGTAGAAAACACGAGGGATGGAAAGAAGCAACCATTCATCTGCAAACAAAAATGAAACAATAGGTTCAGAAAATCCATGCTAGAACTACGTGGCCTGAACATGCTGTCTCTTGAACTACAATAATTTAGTTGGACTCAGTGTGGCTTGTGTCGGATACAGGGATATGCTCCATTTTTAGTTTTCCCTTTTGGAAAATCTAACCTCATACCAATATTGGATGCGTCGAAAACAGGTACTTCAAAAAAGAAGTGTCCGAGTAACATAACATTATACAACAGCTAATCACAGAAAAAAAATTCCAATTAGCTTTTGATGCAACTTTTTTCCTATGGAGCATTAAGTTTGTTAAAAGCACTACCCAGTGAAATGATAAATCAACGTGGCTTCCTAGATTCTCCACTCAATTCTTTTCTAACAAGCTCCAGCATCTCCATAATCTGAAACAAGCAAACATATATTTAGAAACGCCAAAACATGTGCAAAAAGAGACAGGAATACAAAAATTATGGCACGGCTAATTTTAAGGGGATACACAGTAGGGATACAATTTGTATAATCATAGTACCATAGCTAATATTGATGCTACGTGACCTAGGAAGGGCATAGACACAATAATTAGGCTCTTCTAAGAAATACAAATGATATTTAAGTTCAGTAGAATGAAGAAGAAACAACTACTCCAGAATAATTTTAATACTGGGGAATAATGATTGAGCGCAATGTATATATTCTCGAGAAGGCCAAAAAGTACTTCCACCTCATCACCCAAGAGGTCGACCTACAATACAAGAGGAAAACACAATAATTAATGATACCCTATCAAATAGAAAAACTTTATTGCTATTGGAATCAATAATACAAAGATCTCTCCTTTAGTCCAACAGTTCAAGTACATAAACTGTATACCACTAAAGTAAAAACTTAATGGAGTTGAGGAGAAATTTGACTGACCGGAATTCAAACAGTGGTCATATTGTTGTCAATCATCTCTAAATTTAGCCTGTCGGAAGTATCTAAAGATGGTCTGATATGGAGAGGAAATGGGGTTGGTGTCTACTCTTAATTCGTGTGTTAAGTCGTGCTCTTCGGGTTTTGGAGGCTGTTCCCTTTTGGAAGAACATCATGTGAAGGGAATGGTGCCTCAAGAGTCGAGTCTTTTATGTGGCAGGTTATTCAGAAATTGGATGTTTTATGCCCTTTTGTAAGTTGGGCGAAGGAATCTTCCTCTCATCTATTCTTTTCTTGCTCTGTCGCATGGACATTATGGAATAAATTCCTGAAGTTTTGGAGATTCAATTCGGTTTCATGAAAATGCACAAAGCTTTCTTCTAGCTTGGGAAGACTTGAAGTCTAATTCTCCTATTTGGCCCTTTTCCAGGCATCGTTCTATGGACCATTTGGAAATTCAGGAATGCCATTGTGTTTGAAAAGGGGAAGTTAGACCAGACCGATTTATTTTTCATAGCAAGATTTAGGCTTGCTACTTGGTTTTTAGCTAAGTTCAAAGAGGTTTCTATTCCTAAGGACTCTCTTATCAGTGATCCTTCCCTAGGGGATTTATGTTTGTCCATCAGCAAATCAATTGCCACTCAGTTTCCGTGGTCCCCTCCTCCTAAGGGCTTCATTAAATTGAATGTTGATGCAGCAACCAGTGGTGACTGGAAAAGAAGTGGAATAGGTGGCATTTTAAGAGACTGCAGGTTTGGTTATAGGTTCTTTCCATGAGGCTTCTGGCCCGGGTACCTGTTTTGATGGAGCTAAAGGCTGTTCAGAAGGGTTTATCTTTCTTTGATTCTTTTCGAGGGTGCATTAAGGGACGGTTGATAATTGAAAGTGATAGTAGGTAGAAGTGGAATGGGTTAAGAATTCTGATAGATGTCCAGATGTGTATGTCACAATTGTCAAAGATATTGCAGATAGGTTAAAGATTTGGAGGGTGTTATTCGATGGGTTGCTAGGACAGCTAATATTGAGGCAGATAGCTAAGCTGGAATTGGCTTTGTAAGGGGGTGTTTTCGGATGTTTTTAACTTTATGTATCCCTTTTGTTATCAATGAATTAAAAGGCACTCTTTTCCTTCTTCTGCTGATTAAGGAGCACCTCTAGGAGCTCCATTAATCATGAAGGGGATTTTTAACAAGGCCTTCCCTTCTTATCAAAAAAAAAACTTAAATGGAGATACTTCATAAGTCAAATCAAAAGTCAGCATTTGTGTTGATAAAAGTCCTAGCAGTCAATTTATTGTTTTTTCAATGGAAATGATTGAATTCTTCATCCGCTTTCTTTTTAGCATTTCTCACCTTTTAATAATGTTAGGTGATCAACTAACATGTAGAGCGTTCTCTACCGTATTGCTATGCTACCCTTTCAACACTGTTCTTCCTAAACAATTGCTAACGGAAAAGGGAGGAAAATTCAGAAAAGAGAATGTCAATACTTGAATCATGGGAAACATATTCAGAACTTTAATTTACGTTGTATGTTTATAAACTCATCTCAGAATGGCATGCTTTAATGTTTCTAAATTCTGACTTGGTTAACCTTCTGACATACCTCGTTTTCAGCTTTTTCAAGGTCAGAACATCTCCTTTCAAAACTTGCTTATATTGCAGTCCCTTTGTTTTCAAGATATTTACCATCTGAATTAGAGAACCGGATTGGGAGATTAAATTTTCCAACCTGAAAATTGACCAGTTTGACGTTAATAAATGAAATGAAAATTCAACACAAATTAGTGCGGGTACTTCTTAAAATAAAAACAGTAGGATGAGAAATCAGTGCAAAACATCAAACTGAACTATAATCCAAAGAGAATAAAAGCTAAAAAAAGGCTGAAGGGTCCATATATGAACATGAGGTTAACCTAAGGACACAGTAACACACCGATAAAAAAAATAGACCAGAGCGAAAGTTTTTTCTTTTTTTAACATCCAAACGAGCTTCACTTGATGGGTATATGATTTGTACATCACTATACCCATCAAGGGATCCCCAACAGGTTGGTTTACAATTAAAAAGAAAAAACAACTATTTTGCATCAAGGCATGGAAATTAGAACAGACAGATACTATCATAAATTGTTATTTTCTGATATTTGCAGATTAAGAGAAATGAGAGCGAGTCATGTAGACGGTTCATTCCCTACTGGAATGATCTGGTCGGCCTTCATCGATAACCTTAGCAAAAGAGTTTCTAGGAGAGCTTTGTGGGAACGTTTTCAGCATCATGGGAAGGTTTGCAAGGTGTTTATTCCTTTTGTGAACAGAAGACCAAGGTACAGAAACTTCACTTTTGCTTTTGTTCATTCGAAAGTCAGGAGGATCTGCTGAATGTTATTCAGAAGATGAATAACGCAACGATTGATGGGAGAAAGATTTTGGTAGGGGTGGCAAAATATCAGAAGTCCCAGTTGAAGAAAGACTCGACTGTCGCTGTTGATGGTAGGTCGAAGAGAAGGGTAGATGTTCCTTCAAGAATATGGAAGTCAGAGAGGAGTTGTTCAATCGGTTTCATAATGGAAGGTCTTATAGGGATTCTCTGACAGGTGCTAGAAGTTTGTTGGCGGATTGTCAAGGTAAGAATATGAACGTCCTAATACCCTTAGAAGAGAGAGATTAGATCAAGAAGTCATTAACAGGTATCCTCAAAGATGCATATGACATGGAGTTCATTCAGGAAGCTATTGTTAATTAAGGTTTTGATGCGAAAGTGGCCAGATGGAGTTATTCAAAGAATGCTTGTATTATTACGTTTTCGTCGTTAGAAGAAAGAAATAAAGCTTTGGAGGAAAGAATTGAAGATCTTAAAGTGTTACTTGACTGGCCAGCTCCGATTTTCGTTGACAGGGGTGCTCCGTTAGCTTTTTGTTCGGTTTCATTGATGGGAGCTCCGCTGAATTGTTGGAGTGAAGTGTTTCTCAGAAGTTTGGCTGAAAGGTGGGGATCGGTGGTAGAGATAAAGGAGGAGACGCTTCAGAAGAAGGATTTTCGGTAGCTCAACTTCTCCTTCGTGTGGCTAGTCCCTTTGATATTCCACCATCGGTGACAATTAATACGAATGGAAGGTCTTATGTGATCAAGATCAAAGTTGAAACGGTGGAGAATTATTTTCCCAAATCGAACAGGAGAGAAATAGAGGAGGAATCGGAAGAAGGCTCATCGGATTCTTTTCAGACAAAAGACTTTACTGGGCATGAAGGTAGATAAGCTAATCAGTCAGTAGGATCGTCTAATGAGAGGGTGGAGTCTTGGCTCCAGGATAATCTGACAGGTGGCAGCGGGAGGAATGTCGGCGAGATTAATGTTTCAGGGGATCGAGACAGGGAGAGGGAGAATCGAGGGAAGAACGCAATGATTACATACCCTCCATGCAGCATATTTTGTCGAGGAATGAATTAACGGTTCGTTCGGTGGGGGCAAAGAGGGCAATTAATGCCTTTGGGCTCGATAATTATGCTATTTTAGATGATGGGCCTAATCAGAATGGTTTGGACCAGTATGGGAAAAGAGGTTCTTTTTTATAAGAATAGGAGGCCTCATTAAAAACCTCTCTCATAGTTGCCTCTTATGAAGAGGCAACTTGCGGAAGGAGAAAAAGAGTACCTCAATATATTAATAAATCATAATTACATAAGATTACAACTTACATAATAACCACCCAAAATTAAAAACCGAACAGAACCCCACTAAAGCTTAAAACATTCAACCTATCCCCCCTTAGCTAACTTGTCTGTCTATGGGAAAAGAGGTTCTCAAATTGGGCTGAGGAGGAGGTATGGCTCTTTAGAACCACTTGGAAGGAGAAAGGATAATTGCAGTCTGTTTGGGCCATTTTCAGAGGAAACTAAGGGCTTGGAAGAGATTAACGCAATTTCTCATTGAAAGATTTTGGGCTAACCCTTGGAGCGAGGAAGAGTTTAGTGGCTCTCTGGGAACCATTTATTCAGAGGTTCTATAAGAAGCTGTCGGGTTGGAAAACAACTTCCCTTTCTCTTGCGGGGAGGGTGGTATTGATTAAATCAGTTTTATGCTCACTGCCTATTTATTTTTTTTATCTATTTTCAAGTTGCCATCTTGTGTCTTATCAAGGCTGAATTCGATTATGGCAAATTTTTTATAGGGAGGTTCAAATGATAAGAGAAAGATCCATTGAGTCAATTGGTTGTCTGTTTGTAAGCCTAAGGATCTAGGCGGTTTAGGGATTACTGATCTTAATTAGTTGAATAGAGCGCTCTTGATCAAATGGTCGTGGAGATTTGTAAGCGAATCTAATTCGTGGTGGAAAAGGATGATTTGCTACAAGAACGGTGTGGATCTGAGGGCTATTTCAGTAGAGATCGGATTTTTCTAAAGCTTCTTAGATTTGGAAAGGGGTTGTTAAAAGTTGTTTGGCTAAGGATGATTTTGGGGATTATCTTAGAAATCATTTCGTTACGTTAAAAAGTGGGTAAAGGGATGCTATACACTTTAGGCATAATTTGGGTAGGGAGTGTGCCTTTAAAAGACCGATTTCCAAGGATGTATGTTCTTTCAGTTAACAAATGGGGAAGAATTTCTGATTTCAAAAAACAAAGTCAGTCAGGATGGTTTTGGAACATCCAAGTGAGGAGAAACCTTACGGATTGGGAGTTGGAGCTTTGGCTCGAATTAAATTCTATTCTCTGCAATTTTTATGTTGATGTTTCTTTGGAAGATACTTCTGTTTGGACAGGAAATGGAGAAGGCGTTTATTCCGTTAGATCTTGTTTAAACTTATTAAATGAGAAAGAGAATGTGGATCTAGCTTGGTCAAACCATGTTTGGCTTGGGGTGGCCCCTCCTCAGGTGGAAGTTTTTGTCGAGCAGGTTTTTCATATGAAGGTAGGAGTTAAAGTTGAGTTGTTGAAACGTGGAGTCCCTGGGATCGTGGACAATCTCTGCCCCCTATGCGATTCGGCTCCGAACATGGTTTCTTATTTGTTTGTGTCTTGCTCGGTAGTTTGGAAATTATGGTCCATTTTTTTGAAGATGTGGGATGTTCCTTTTCTTGTTCCAGAAAGTCCGGCTGCTCTAGTTTCAGTTTGGATGCTGCTGGTGCCTCGCTCAAAAATTTGGTTGTTTATTCCAAGGGCGATTTTATGGTTGGTCTGGAAGTATAGAAATGAGATTATTTTTTAAGGAAGAAAGCTAGACAACACACTGTTGTTTTTCTTAACAAGGTACAGACTGGTTTCTTGGTTCTCGGCGAAATTTCCTATTGTCCCAATTCCTTTCGACTGTCTTGTGGGTAATCCTGCTCTAGTTGATTCATGGGTATGTTGTAATAAGCCCCTCGCTAGCTCGTTGTCTTGGCGCCCTCCTCCTAAGGGTTTCTTCAAGATAAATGTTGATGGGGTCGTGGATAAGTTTTGTACTAAAGGGGGAATAGATGTTTTACCAAGGGATGAAGATAGTACAATGTTGGGGACCTTTTCTAAAAGTGTTGGTTCGGGCCCTCCAATTTTGGCAGAATTGTTGGCTATCAAATCCGTTTATTATTCTTCATGAATTCGAATTGGAGCTCAAGGGGAAGACTTATTTTGGAGAGTGATTGTAGCAAAGCCTTAGATTGGATCAAGATTTTGGGTTCTTGTCATGCATTATTTATTTTCACTAGTGAAGGAAATTGGGTCTTTGGTAGTAGATAGGAATGTTATTGTAAGACATGTCAATAGAGTTGTGAATTGTGAGCTGGATGAATTAGCAAAGATAGGAATTGGATGAGCTTGTGTTTTTTGGTTTTTCTAGGAGATTTATTTCTGCTGTAAGGTGTTGTTGTAATGGTCATTTTGTACTATTTTTTCTTGGTTAGTAATAAAATTTTGTGGCACTTTTTCCTCCTTCCAGTATCCGTCGATATACCTTAGTGTTTTAACGGTTATGAAAGGAGTTTTTAATGAGGCCTCCCTTTTTTTATCAAAAAAAAAAGAACAGACAGATACCATAAACAAATAGAAACAAGAACTCATTTGTGTCACAAGTATCCATCTGCAAACGAGAGTTCTCATAAGTCAGTATCAGTTGATAGGTTAAGAGTCAAAGGGATGAGCTAAATCAAACTTTCTTGACAATATGAACCAGTTTTGTGAGGATTAGCAACCTGGAAAGTAAGTCTTGAAGTAGAGACTGACATGGCTTAAGCCTATTATAAGTATTGAAATAGAGACTAGAGACAAGACATAGCTTAAGCCTATTTTCCTTTACTAAGCAAGCCGAGGGCTAAGGCAAAATCCAAACCATATATTGAGAGGGAAACAATGCATTCGACAGTTACAACCACGACAAGAAAACCTAGGATAAAATTCATTTGGTTAAGGAGCAAACAACAATTTAATAACTTCAGATTGAAGGTTTCTTTCCACTATTAACCTTTTATTCATTTGGACACGTAAGAGAACGTAAAATCAAGAAAGTTTCAAAAATATCCACAAATATCCCAAAACTGCTACCAGAATCCACTGAAAGAAGATTTATCAATCAGAAAATGGGAGGAAAAAGGTAGTTGTGATAGAGAAGTACCTTAGATTACTCCTCTTCATATATTCTGAAATTCGACATTCTAAAGCAGTGAATTCCTTAAAAAGTCCTTGGACAAGAATAATTATTGATTCCATCTGTTTTCTGTGCTGATTTTCATTTGCTTTAACTAATGATAAAATATCATCCTTCCCTTTGGCAGCAAGAAGAAGCTTCCTCCTCTCATCATTGCTTTCGTTCAAATCTTTAACAGCCTGGTCAAGCTTCATATTTAATTCACATATCTCCCCCTTTTTTTGTTCAAGTTCCTCCGAAGCTTGTCGGAGATTAGTTTTCAGAAGACTGGATTCTTCATTGCACTTAGAAACCATCACTTGATGCTGATTTGACCGATCCCTTGCAATGTCGAGCTCTTGAGAAGCTGCTGTATATTTCTCACTTTCTCTTGCCAGTTCAGCCGCTGTTTCATTAAGTAACTTCTCCTTTTCATTAACGGCTGACGTCAATAGGAGCACATGTTGCTGCAATTTTTTCTTCTTTGCAACTTCCAAATTTAGCATTCTTTCCTTCTCAAACACAATCAAACTTAAGTCATGGAGTTTCTCCTGGGCTTCTGTGAAGGCTTCTCTGAATATGATGGCGCATAGTCCATCCATAGCTAAAGGTTCCAAATCAGATTCTTTAAATCCACTCTCACTGTTATGTGACATGTTGCAAGAAACATCTTTTAATATAAGGTTACAAATGTCTTTCATGATACTGTGCTCCATCTCTGAATCTTCACTTATCCACTTAATCTGGCTGATTGCTCCCCTGATCAAGCAATTGTATACATCCCAACTAATGGAAGCTTCAATATGTGCACCCTCAATCGCAGACTCAAGGTTTTCTACCCTTTCAAATAAGTTTTCCTTGACAAAAGAATACTGTGACATTTTCTCCACAGCATCAGAAAGTTGTGAAGAAAGGTTGCTAACTTCCTTTTTCCTATCAGAAAGTGAGTCCTTCAGTTGATGATTTTCTGAAAGAAGTGTTTCACATCGGTCCTTCAAGATGATGAGGTTATCATAATTATTTGCTAATAAAGGAACTTTTTCATTTTCTACAAGAATCCTATCCAATTTCACTATGACATCTGGTATCTTTTTCCTCAACACATCAAACTCCTTATCCTTCCTAGAAGGAAGAGAAGAACCCTTCTCCTTCAGGTACTCCCGTCTAAGACTAAAATATTTTTCAGTCACCTCTTGTAGTTTGTAGTCATGGTTCCTCTTCATTTTTGTCATCTCAACCTTAAAAAAATTTATCAGTTCCTCCTTTCTCATGTGTATGAGTTGTGTAGCATCCAAATTTTCTGGAACGGTAATCACTAATTCTCCATGCTTTCCATTTTCTTCCCAAAGTGATACGGATGATGAATCATGTTCTCCTGGAACCTTTAGCTGCAACTGTTCAGACTTTTTACTATTACTCAAATCGCCATGGATCTCCAATGAACTCTGAGAACTCAGTGTCACAGTTTCAGGATTTGACAGAGATTTTGAAATGGCATCTAATTCCTGACGCAAACTGGAAATCTCATTGATCTTCTCAATCCAACTTACATTTTTGTTACCATGCCATTGAGCATTTTGATCCCATAGTCTTTCTTCAATCTGCTCCTTCAAACCCCAAATGCAAGTTGTTACCACCATTCGTTCAACTTCTTCCTGATATTCTTGCTCCTGCTCCCATTGACTGAGTGAAGCCTTTGATGAGTAAACAATATTGCTCATTTGCTCATAAACAGAATCCAGGGTTATTCCTATGGAATCAAGTGTTTTCTCCACATCAATCCATTTCTTGGGTTCGTCCTCTTGCAAAATGCCACCCAATCCTACCAACTCAGAAACTGAACTAATCTTCCTAACGGAACCATGCCCTCTGATTTCGTCAATATCTTTCCTGAGATTCTTAAGCTGTCCTTTAAATGTCCTTTTAAGTCTGCCAAAAGATTCGAGTACCTTGTCATGCTCAAATAAAGCATCTGAAAATCTTGAAAATGCACTTGATCTTTCAAGTTTTGGTTCATTGTTCATCAGTAAAGGCCTCAAGGATTCATTTTCATCGAGATCAACACGGTAGCATTTAAACATTTCCTTCAACCTAGCTAATTCCAACTCTTTCTGAGCAATCCTATCGGCAGCCTCTGCTCAACAGCATTGACCATCCCCTTGATGATTGAGTCATTCACCATCCTTGAAACGATTAATCCGTCCCTGATGTCTTCCACGTATGAATCAAAATCATGGAGAAAGTCAACATCAAGTTCTCCACTGTCTTTTACAGGACAGGCAAGGCCCGCCGCATGAATGGACTCATTGCAACACGAAATGGCGCTAGCAGTTGCATCTCTACAGCTCTCCATTTCAGAATTTCCTCCCAGCATCAGAATCCACTGCACAAAAAAAAAACATGTTGCTTAAGAACATATAATCTTACAAGATCCAATCAGTTGACTAATTTCGATTTTTTTTTTTTTGCTTTCTTTTGGTCAACAACTTGATGAAAATTCAATTTTCATCAATTTAATTAATCGAGCTCAAAAAGAAAAGAACTGCAAGGTTTCAAATTCCTTTTCGTTTTAAATTTCAAAACAGGCGATCAATAACAATAAGCTCAAAGTCAAAACTCTAAAAACAAAATTTGACCAACTTGACATACCTGACAACTATTGAAACCGAGACTTGAGAAAGACAACCATAGATGTTATAGCATTTAAACAGGAAACAAAACGTAAGGAACAATTACCAAGAACTTTAAACTCAATATTCTAAGACGATGTCAAAAGGAATGCAAAATCGAGAGAGAGAAAGAAAGAAATTTGAACAAAATTCAAATTTCAAAAACAAAAGAAACTTACGGGTGTTCTGAGAGAAAAATTAAAGGTGAAAACGAGGGACTTGAATTAAACTCTGCTGCATAAAAAATCTCAATGCTTATCTGTGTGTTTTTTTGGTGGTATCTTAGGGTTTCCAAATAAAAAATAAGAGAAAATATAGTGAAAATGGATTTGGTGAGCGGATGCGGAACTGCGGAAGGGAAAACATTAGAATATACCTTACAATTACACATATTTACATAAACTGCCATTCAAGTGTATTTTCTTTTTGTTTTCGTACATCGAAATCTTATTTCAATGTTATTTATAAAAATACAAAAGTCTTTTTAACTTTCTAGTAAATCTTAAATAAATTAAAATTTCAACCATAATTTATATATTCTCTATATTAGATTGTTTTTAAATTATTAGTAAGCACTTTTAAGAATATTAAACTAAATTATGAGAATATATATATATATCAATATAAAATTTTATTTTTAGTATTAGATGAACAGTAATAAAGTCAAGCTTAGATGAAACAATCTAAATATAAAAAAATGAAAGAGTAGTCCGGGAACAGTGAAATGACTAATGGCGTAAATGAATAGAGCGTTCGGTGAATTGTTCGTGAACCGTTCATATAACGTTCGTTTAAGTTCGTTTATTAAGCTAATAAACGAACATGAATAAAAAAATTATGTTCATTTAATAAACGAACGAACACAGAGGTGTGTTCAGTTCGTTTATGTTCACGAACAAGTTCGTTTATGTTCACGAACAAGCTCGTTTATGAGTTCGTTATCAACTCGTTCATTATGTTCATGAACAAATTCGTTTACCCGATTCTCTTTTTTCTTTTATTTTTTACATTTTAAATATTGATGAAGATGATGATTAAACAGAACACATAATAAAAGTTGCATTTTAAACTATGAATTTATACACCAATGGCCTAATTTTATCATTTTCTTTAGCTTGCAAATGAAATTAAAAATTGAATATATAATCGAACGGTAAACAAACATTAAAATAACGCTAAACAAACACTAAATGAATGTTAAACGAATATGGTCATGAACACGTTCGCGAACATTAAACGAACGCTAAATAAAAATGTTCATGAACACATTTATGAACATATAAACGAACACATTCATGAACATTAAATAAACATGTTCGTGAACAATAAATAAACAAACACGAACACCTTCAAAAATAAATAAACGAACATGAATACGATATTGAAAATTTAAACGAACATAAACTGAACACAACACCTTCAAAAATAAATAAACGAACACGAACATAACATTGTTCGTTCAAACTCAAATCATTTACACCCTTATGAATGACAGAGTCTAAGCTGAGATTTTGCCTTGTAAATTTTTTATATTTTAATTAATCGATTAATTTGAATTAATTATTGTAATGATAGTTTATTAATTTATTTTATTTATATTATTGAGATTTAAACTCTTAATTTTATTTTTTTTAAATTGATACATTGCTCATTAGACTAATTATAAATTAGGTCGAACTAATTTCTCAGTGGTTAAAGGAATCGTTGTTGTTTCTAGAGGTCACGGGTTCGAGCACCAGCAGCTACAACAAGATGATTGAATGCTTATTGTCAAATGGTTGAGAGTATATAGAACATATATTACTTTGTAATCACCTTAGCATAATAAAAAATGAAATCCTTAAATATGAAGTAAATTTTCCTAAAAAATAAAGCATAGTGATAAATTTTCCCGTCACTTTGCCTATTCTTTTTTTTGGAACATTTTACCCATAACATTTTAATTTTTAATAAAAACAAACTCGATTAGATGAAAATCATTAATAGATTAACTCATGTTATTGATGTAAATTTTCATATATATTAATTGATGATATAATATATGTCTATAACATATGTCACATCACTAAAAATAATTATGTGACAAGTACCATATCATTAAAAATGATGATCACATCAATAATTTGACATATATAAAATTATCACGTCACTTAGGAGTGTTCAAATTTAGATATCGAATCCAAAAATTTTGATACTAAATAATGATTTGTATATGATATGAAAAATCGAACGTCTGAATTTTTGAACGTCTGAATTATTTTTCAAATATAAAAATTAATTTGACAAAAAATAATTTCATATATTTATATTTTGTGACTTAAGTAACTTATTCGGAATCTCTACTATATTTGTATATTTAATTACTCACATATAATAATAATAATTAAATATCATAATTTTTTTTGGATTTGAGCTTTAATAAGTTAGTGTGTTACTCATTTATAGGGCCAAAGGGTATCTAAAATCTAAAAGCCAATTTTTCCAGATTTTCGGTTAATATGAAATTGGAATTTATTGATCCTATTATCCGAATTTTTTTGTATATTCGATCCAAATATCTAAAAAAAACTAAATCGGATATCCAAATTTTCATATCAAATCGAATCTTTTTGCACAGCTCTAAATTTGTTACATAACTTGATCGTTAGTTAACTAACAATTTTCATCCAATAGATATGCTTTGATCAAAAATTGAAATATTAAGAGTAAAATACTTCAGTATGAACCAAGTAGCCTCCGGCGTAAAGAAAATGTTAAACATTGAGAATTGTCTTTGAAAAGATAATACATTGCACTTGCCTTAAATCAAAAGAATATGATGCAAAATAACCATGTGTATAAACACTAACCTAGGTATTTTTATAATTGTGCCAAAAGTAATTTGGAAGAAGTTCATTGTAATGGGCTAAGAAAGGTATAAATCCCCAATTTTCTCCGTCGCTAATAATATAATAAATTAATTGATTGATCGTCCCTTGGTATAAAGTAGACGTAGACAACTAAAGAAAAAAAGATTCTTTGTATTCCAACATTTTAAAATCTCGAATTCCTATTAAATCAAACTGATCATTAAAGGATCCAAGAGAAACTAGTATGCTTGTGTGCCCCACAACTCTTAACATATTATGATTAACCATTATTAATTCAGTGATCAACTGATCATTAATCACTTTTAATTAAGAATATATAAAAGGTAAAGTAAAGAGGAAAACAACCGTAATGATTGTTTGTTTGTGGTTTACTTAACAGAGAAGAATTCATTTCCTTTCTCTTTTTATTTTATATATTTAAAATTTGAAATTATTTTATTTACGTTTAATAGAAAAAAATTCTTAATTACATTTTTTAAACTTTTTTCAGTCTATATAAGTATTTAATGCTATCATTTTAAATATCTACATCGTAACATCGTTAAAAAATTAATTACTTGGCATGGATTACGTTTTATATATTTTTAAAAGTTTATTTTAAAATAAAAATAATATTTAAAAAAACTCGAGATTTAAATACCCCAAGTTTACCCCGAGTAGCCATGGGATGAGCGTTCACCACCGCTCGAGAATGTCCAGCATTGTTAGTTTCCATCTCTGCCACCAATAGGGGAGCCACCTCTGAAACAGCCTGCTCAACACGCATCGATGCAACACATTGTCCATCAACCTGCACACTTTGTATAAGATCAACACATCGACGATCATATTGGTTATCCAGCATTGTTGAAACACGCTGGTCACCAGTGTGAACATCAACCACACGATCGTCACACTGTGGAGCAAGAGACAAAGGAGCAGTATTCAAGGACTGAACAGGACCCACCGAAATAGGTGGCACCGCCGAAGTGGACACATGTTCACCTACCAAGGAGGGTGTTGGTACCGATACATCTAGCTCACCAGCCACAACACCATGACACTACCTTGAAAGAGGCATTCCCATCGAAATATTACGACTCCGGTCATCAACAACGTTATTCATACAAGAAGAATCTTCAACAGCACACTGATTTGGTCCACAATGCTGCAAAACCTGATCTGCCCCTGGCGCCAAAAATAAATCCGAGGAATAACTCGAACCACTCACACCAGTCACACCTTGTCACAATCCACGACAAACAGGAACACCATTCATCAAACACTACATGACGAGATAAATACACTTTCCCATCCTTCGCAAAACAAAAAATAACCTTTGTGATCCAAGTTAAACCCAAAGAACGCGCAAGGCTCCGAGCGAAAGTTTAAATTTATGACAATGAAACAGTCGAAGACACGGAAAACATTTACAACCAAAAATTCACAAATGGTCATAAAAAGGAACCTTACCAAACAACTTCTCATATGGAGAAATATCATGAAGAACCTTCGTAGGCAATCGATTAATCAAATGTGCAGCAATCACTACCGCGTATGACCAAAACTTCAGAGGTAGAGACGCTTAAACCAACAACATCAGAGTCGTACCAATAACATGCCGGTGTTTGCGTTCAACAACATAGCTTTGCTAAGATGTATGAGGATATGTTACACGATGGACTCCACTTGAACTTTAAAGAAAGAAAAACATTTTTAAATTAGACTAGTATAGGTTCCTAAGGGGACAAGTGACATTGGAATTAATGTTCAAAGATCCAAAGTAATTTCGATATAAAATTCAAATAAATGTCTTTTTTAGGTATATGGGAGTAATGGTGACAAAAATGAGATATTCAAATGTTCTAGTCACACTTGATAAGGAATGAGTAACCTTTATACTTAAATGCTTTTAATTTTGTGTAATTGGTTGCCTATTTGTTATATGCATGCATGCGTTTTTAAAATTAAATGATTATGTGTTGTTTTCTATCTCATGTATGTTAAATTGTATTATGATGAACGATTTTAAAGTCTTAATGATTTTCATAAGTTTTAGTTCATCATAATGATTTTTGGTCAAATATGTTTTTAATGTTTTTTTTAATCTTGATTTTTGACCTTAAATTTATATGTTTATACATGTAATTTATTGCAAATGATATCTCTCTAACAATTGATATCAATTTTTTAAATGCATAACATTTTTTAATAGTTTTATGCATATGAACTTTAATATCTCATTTTAATATTGCATAAAGTAGTTTAGACTTGGATTTATTGAATTTCACGTGTTACTAACATATTTGTTCATCCATGTTGAAATTTAATAGTTTTTTAGTGTCAAAATTTTAAAGTCGATCTTTTTTTAATGCTTTTGTTAAGGGGGAATTTTTTATTTTTCAAATAAATTATAACTTAAAATTTTTCAACTTACTTTTCATTGTTATTTTTGAACCTTAAAGTTTAAAT